ATCGCACCAATCACGTTGACAAGAGTCAACGCACTAACCACCCGGGGCTAGAAGGGAGATGGTTGCGGCACCGAGGATGTGAAAGGTTGTGTAGGAGGCATCAGAGCCTGCAGCAGCACCTGCGATGCGCCTGGAAGTACGAGAGGGTACATCCCTAGAAGGAGGAGCATTCCCCCTGATTGGTGGTATAGGGCCATGACCTGGTCGAATCCCTGGATCTCTTGTAAGTTAGAAGAGTCGTTGACGAACTATGCAATGCTAGGTAGGAAAATCACCCTTGGGCTAGCCGAGGGTACGTGAAATGAGACCATATCATCTTTTTGACATTGCCTGGATGATACCCAATAGGGTTACTAGAGAGGGAGTCTAAGAGGGAACGGCTGGCATTGCAATGCCTTCGATGGCGGCCTAGCTAGAGTTGTGGTGGTGTTTTGCTGGCTGGTTGACATGGTTGTTATGTTGTTTCTTTGTGGATGAATTTTCCTCAAAATAAGAGAAAAAACCTACAGGTCGCACCGTCGGTGTAAAAAATGATGGTGTAAATTAACCACTCAGGCAAAATACTCTAAACTGGGTCTAGGGTGGTTTGGTGAGTTTAGAGACTCGAAAGGAAAAGTGAAGAAGAAATGACTGAGAGGATTGTAGGTAAAAACAACTATAGTCTAGTTGTTATTAAGTATGGGATAAGTACAGGGATGTATTGCACAATATGCTCTTAGAGAGATGATATTCGGATCCCCTCAACTGAGGGTTAGAAGTGTATTTATAGTGTAGCTAAGTGACAGGCTGACAAGTGCCCATGCGTGGACACATGTTCGTCTCTTTTCTCTGGCAGGGGATGACCCTTTATCTCGTAGTGTTCGTCTCTTTTCTCTGGCTGCCACGCTTTGTAGCTATCTTTCTGTCGTGTAGTGTTTGGCTGAGATGCTTGAATAAATCCATTGTTGCACGGGAATCCAGTCTTGCTCGGTTACTTTGTTAGGCGTGTCGTAGCACCTACAAATTAATTTATTATTTCCTTGACTTTTAACTCCCTTTATGATTCAATATTCATCAAAACATATAGATAGGGCAAGTAAGGGTCGATCCCACGAGGAAAGATACTTTTTAGGCTATGAAAATCAATTCACTTGTCACTTTTATTGAATAAAAACTAACTAAAATCTAAAAACTAAAACTAAAGGATATGGGGGGTTTGAATGATAATTCTAAAAAAGATAAAAAAATACAAATAAAATAAAGATAAAGGATAACAGATACGAGATGGAACCACAATAGCAACTCAAACTTAGAAGAACACCCGGGAGAAAACAAACACACAAAGACAATCACACAATAAACTTTAGAAAACGTAGACAATAATAATTAACTTAAACCATTTTGAAAATACTTATAGTTTTTAATAGAAAATAAAATGAACAAATATGATTCCTTAATTAATTATGCCTTGATTCTGAAATTAAACTGCTAATTAAACTCAGGGTTAGGCTGAAAAAGAGGTCTACCAACGGTTCTTCCCTATTTTCCCATTCATATTAACTCACGTTAAGAGCAACCCTAACTCTAAGCCCTACTATCCTTAGCAACCCAAAGACCAACCTTTAAGTTACTACTAAGAATAGCGCATTAAAATCTTTGGAAAACATCACCATAACAACCTTGCAGTAACACTATGGTTATTTAACAAAATCAGTTCGAGAACCTTGATTAGCAAAAACTACTTAACGAGGCAACGAGAGACTAATCAAGTGACACTTGGTTTCTAGAAAAGTTCGGCTATTTAAAGCACTTTGGGCTTTAAGAAAATATCAATTTAAATTGGATTAGGCACGCGTTCCTAATTTGACCCAATTTTATTAAAATCTGGTGAATAATTGTTCTCAGAACACCTTTTCAAGTTTTGATTTAACAGTAGCATAGAGCTAAAAAAATTTCAAAGTCAAATTAATTGAACAAACAAAGATTCAATCTTTTCGTCAAACAATTTAGCCTAAAAAGGTTTTATAATTTCAGAGACAATAATAAATCAATAAATCAAAACTTGAATAATTCAACATCAAGACTCAAACAAATCAACACTTATAATATAACTTAAACATTCAACATAGAATTCAAATTGAAAATAATGATATTTGAATAATGGATATCAAATTCATCAATTGGAAATTAAACAAAGAAATATTTGCACTAAATAGCACTAAAACTTAAGTCATTTCCCTAAATAGCACTTAAATTATTTTATTATCAAATAGCATTTAATAATGTCCATAATGTCTTATGATGGTGAATATTTACTTGAAAAATGACTAATGCATAATGACTAAAAGTGCTACATTGGGCAGAAAAACACATGTGGTGCTATTTAGAAAAAGTCATTATGTTTTAGTGCTATTTAAGTAAATTTCTCTTATGGTGTGTTTGGGAACATGGATTTGGATTTCAAATCCGATTTAGCTCAAATCACATGTTTGAGAAACTTAAAAAATTTGAATTTGGATTTAAGTCAAATTCTTCTTATTTAAAACAAAGCTTAATTTCAAATCCATGCTCCTCCTCTTGTCATTTGAATTTCAAGATTTTAAATTTTGGAATTGAAATGCATGAATTGAAATGAATACTACCTTAAACAAATTCAAAATCCTAATTAAAATTTTGAAATAAAATTAAAAGTCAAACAAACTCCCATGTGTATTGCTCCTTTGTTCGTTCACTACCAAAGAAGAGACCAAAGACTACCAATTCAATTGAACCATCCATGGCCGCCATCGCCGGACTCCATGTCGCCGTCGCCACCATCGCCGGACCTAGGGTCGGAACCCTAGGTCGGCCTCTGCTCCGGTCTCTCTCTGCTCTCTGTTTTTGTCTCCGTATCCGCCCCCCAGCAGCTTTCGTCTGCGATCGGCTCATCATTTATAGATGACATACAATTGCAGTTAGACTTCTATTGTAACTCTTCAACCTTTTGAGTATTGAATATTGTGAAATTTGCACTAAATAGGACTAAAACATAATGACTTTCCTAATCTAGGACTTAAACTTTTTTATTCCCTAAATATGACTTATTAATGTATTCGTGGAAGGAATAATGTCCAGCAATGATAGACATTACTTGAATAATGACTAAAGAATAATGACCAAAGGTCCTACATTCGGAAATAAAAACATATGGTCCTATTTTGGGAAAGTCATTATGTTTTAGTCCTATTTAGGTAAATTACTCTTGAATATTTGTTCCCACCGCCTCTAAACATGTTCCTTCCTTTCGGGATGGAGAATTCCCTTTTATGTTTGACTCTTCTTGGACTTGGCCCAAACTTTATTTCCTTCTTCAAATCAAGCACGTCCAATATGTTTTTTTCTTTAACTTTTTTTTTGTTTTGTCTTCCAAAGTGTGGGAAGACAAGGTTGGTTAGGATTTCAAACGAAGTTCTCCGACGTCAGGTAGGCATGACGCTGGTGGAAGATAAGGTGCGGGTAGCGAATTTGAGATGGTTTGGTCATGTGAGACAGCGGAATGCTGACGCTCCGGTACGGAGATGCGAGAGGATTACGGTTGTCGGGGGAAGTAGGGGAAGGGGTAGACCTAGGAAGAATTGGAAGGAGGTGATTAGGTAGGATTTAGGACTTCTCACCCTGACTGAGGATATGGCTTTAGATAGGAACTGTCTGCGTACACACACCAGACCCTACTGTAGTGGGATTCAACTGGGTTGTTGTTGTTGCTTCCAAAGTGTACCCAAAAATATTTGAGCCAATGGAAAATAATGCACCAAAATAATTGTCAAATGTAAATATGCTTAAAATCATGCATTTTATGTATAAAAAGTAAACCATAGTCTAAAATACTAAATATTAGAAAATATGCTTATTTAGGTATAAAATGCATATAAAGTATCTTAAAAGTACTAAGAAATGAGGGAATAAAATATGACATTTTCTGACTCAACATACTTCCAAGTAACTACCTTCTAAGTATGTTAGGTTGTTAGTACGTACGCCAGTTCCAATGATGCATTAGGTGGTTTATCAAAAGAATATCTTGGTGATCTGAATATCTCTCTAGCAAACTGTGTTCCCTGATGGGTAGTGCCGCGTGGGCCAACCCATCTGGGTGGTTTGCAACCCAACGAGTCAGGTTTGGATTCATCTCAGTTACACTTTGAAACGAATCGTTACACTCATTTCAAGTAATACGTGAAACTCATTGAGTCGCTCGAAGAGGGGAGTCCCTAGAGCGCATTGGGACAAATCCTTCATTGGTCACCCAGTTACTTCCGGTGGTATCCGACCCGGGACGGAGAGAGTATTAATTATGATAGATGTGGCGAAAGATATTATTGTTTTGGTTACATATAGAAAGATTTTCATCGGATGAAAGCATCTTCAATCTCGAATAGAACTATATATATTGAGTTTTAAAATTGTACCCCGGAGTACATCTTCTAATAGGACTTTATTTCAAATTACAAAATAGGTTTTGGCATTTCAAACCCAAATATAGGTGGTACTTTGTAGTACTCAAAACCCAAAGAGTAATCAGAAAAAAAGACACTCTTGAGAATAATATTATAATTTCGATGTAAGCCTCATTTGAGATCAGCGTTAGAGGTTAGCGTTTTGGAAATTCTATCCAATAGTAGCCTTTAGCGTTAGCGTTTCAAAATTAATGTAAACTATTAAAATTTTATGCAAAACATTAACGATAAGCAAAAACGTTCTTCTCAAACAAGACTGTAATGGATTGAAGATGAAATACTATAGACTTGACATTTAGTGCATTTTGATTCCGAATTTAGTGTGAATAGTTACAAATGGTCTAATAAGTAATATTACCTCTGATGGGAAATAATATGTGGCTCGGCCCACATTTCCCAATTATTTACGAAGGACAGTCAAACCAGGCCTGTTTAATAAAGTGGAGGAATAATAGAATATTCCTCCGTAGATGCTCCAGCTACTCCTATAAAAGGAGGGCTCCCCCTCAATGTGAAAGGAGGCCAATTTCACTCCTCTCCTGCCAGTTTCTCTTTCTAGATATTTTTAGAGTATATTTTTCTTCTTCTTCAAGAGCTTCTAGCTCCACCATTAATGGCTTCTAAGCCTAAATCATGTACCGTGTACACACCCCCGATATTAATAAAAATCCCCCGTTGGCAAGGTACCGCCAAAAAAGGCTCGTGGTTTTCTCCCGATTTGGGTTTCCACGTAAAAATTCCTGTGTATATATTTTGGTGTATTTTTTGGACCAGTTTATCATTTTTAGCCGGGATAAAAACGATATACCGGTCGATAATTTACACCATCATTTTGGCGCCGACCGTGGGACCTGAGCGAAAAGCCATAATTTCTTGGTTTCTTCATTATCAAAGGATAAGAGGAAAGGGGGGAATGGCTCAGGAAAAAAAAGAAGAAAAAAAAGAGAGTTAGTGACGAGAAGGAGGCAAAAAGAGAAAGAGGAAAGAGAGAAGATATTGGGGAAGAAGTTCAACATCCTGGTTGCGGTCGCCGTAGCCACTGCCGCCATCCTTGGCCGCAGCTTGACTTCCGGCCACTACACCACCACCACAGCTGAGAAGACGAGTTCCCTTCGCCCAACGCACGACAGACCTCGGGAAGTCCACCACGCTGCTCATGGTGGATTTTACCCGGAACCACCGGCCGTCCAACACTGTCCCCGCCGTAGCACCAGAGCGTCGTTGCCATCCATGGTCGCAGCCCAGCTTCATCCGCGCCGGCAGTCGGCATTGCAACTGTCGTTGCCTAAAATTAATGGCCTTGCCGATGAAGACCCCCGTTGTTGCTCCCGAGATGCACCGTCATCGTCGCTGGTTCAAAAGCTTGTCCGAAGCCGCCATCACCACTCTTCAAAATTGCCGCTCGCCCGCCATGACTCAGCCTTGTCCGAGGGATAGGAAGCAGTTCATGAAGGACGCGGTGGTTACCCAAAATGCTTTCGCGACGGCTTACTTCGACTATGTTGGAATTGCTTCCTTGCAGAACACCGGTTCCGCCCTCACTGATTAGGCACATGACAAAGCTCAATTCACGGGTCATTCTGACGCCTTCTCACAAACCCTCGCTGATGTTTTCAATTGCCATCGCTGAAGTTTCCGATCATTGTTCAATTCCATCTCGAGCGCGGCTGAAATCAACCATTACCATCATTAAAACCAAGCATCCCCGCCCCCGGAGTTGGTCGCCAACGTCGCCGCTGCTCATATCTGTTGCCGGACAAAGGAGTAGTCACATCCGTGCGGCAATCTCCGATTTGGCCACCACTGTTGCTGCAACTGATCAGATTGCTCCTCTCGCTCATAATTCACCGCTGCTGAAATTGCTATTGGACCTACTGCGAGGCCGGAGGGCTAAGCCTACCCTTAGACGATCCGCCGGCATAACTATCGGATCTCGGATCTCGTCACTGAGGTGGGGGTCCTCACCGTCGGGAGAATCGGACCTCCAGGGGATCGAGCTATTCGACGCCGCCGCTTCTTAGACTCGCCGCCGCGGTTACTTAAACCACAGTTGTGGTCGAGGCTCACCACCGCCGGCTTAGAAGGATCCTCTTTCAATCTGCCCTGCTTTCGACTTGGGGGAAACAATACGATGACGGACTCGGCCGGGCCGCTGGTTGCCGCCATGGTCTAAAATTTCCCACCGTCGCTGGTCTCTTTCCATGGTTGAAGAACGGCCGCCTCCATTTCGGGAGGTGTTCCAATAAAATCTGACATCGCCGCTAGTGATGTCCGCCTTGGTCAAATCTCAACCTACCGTCACCACTGCTAAGTTGCCGAGATCCATCCCCCATCGCCGCTGTAAAATTCCATCTCTGGCGCTAATGTCTACAGTTGTTGCCTCCCTTGGATAATTGAACTCCAGCTCATTCAATCTCACATCCAAAAGAACGAGACAAGGGAGAGAGTTGCATGTGGTAAATTCTTCACCCTTTTTGATAAAGTGGGAAGTGAAATAGAGTGAAGATTGGAGGACATTTCCTGCCAATACATGCATTTTAAGCCATGAATCATGAAAAGGAGTGGGGCATCCCATGTGAGAGGTGGGCAGGTGGCCCACCCATGATATATTTCAAGGGATTCAAAATAAAATCCCAAGTGATTGAGTTGAAGATACGGTACCCAGGGCATTACTGCCATTTAAAAAAAAAACAATGCTCCTCACATTTGAAAAAGTGGCTATGGTTCTTGGGCCAATTGTAGACGGAAGGCACTCGGGTCTAGCACACTGGTTACTATACCGGTCTTGCTCAATACTTTGCAAAGAAAGGAAGGAAGACTGAGACACAAGCCGAGCTTGGTACGCTGGTTACAACACCGGTCTTGCTCAGTATTAAAAAAAAAGAGGAAGACTGAGACACAGGCCCGGCCTGGCACGCTGGTTACTACACCGGTCTTGCTCAGTATAATAAAAAATATTAAAATATGTGACACAGGCCCGGCCTGGCACGCTGGTAAATATCATTCTTGTGCGCGAGACAGGCCAAGAATGATATACACACCGGTCTTGCACATATTTTCTCGTAAGTCTAACCCCAATCGAATTGGGTACACCGGTGGCTCAGCTGAGCCCTTATCGGGGACGCCCGATTCTTCAGGCCCTTTGAACAATGCACTCCGGAAGTGGTCTCTACATGACATGAAGATATTTGCATCAGTTAGCCGGGATAACATCGATCTTCGACAAAGTTGCTGCAACATACTTCATTCGTATTAAGTAACATCGATTACTTCGATGTACTAATTTCGCTATGTATCGTTTACTTAATCCGTACTAACATCGGTCTCAACGAAATAACTACTTGAAGCACCGTCGCTTCATCGTACTAACTTCGGTGTCGTATTACTACTCGAAGCATCGTTGCTTTATCGAACTGACATCGCTCTTGTTACGATAGTTATTCACGCGAATTTTAACCACCCTAACACTGAGCTCCTCGGAAAGATAATAATTTTTTGAGCACGGCATAGGCCGGTCAAAAAAAAATGTTGTACATATTATTTTTTGCAGGAAAAATTTCTGATTCAAGAAATTAAAGAATTAATGAAGACTCGAAAGACTAGCAATAATATCAACCGGCCAAGAATCCAAAGTACGAAGGCTGAAGCTATCACTCGGAGGACTTGTTTACTTTTTTAAGTTGATGATTCCCACAACTTAAAAAAGTGGAGGACTTCTTGATGGGAAATAATATGTGGCTCGGCCCACATTTCTCAATTATTTACGAAGGACAGTCAAACCAGGCATGTTTAATAAAGTGGAGGAATAATAGAATATTCCTCCGTAGATGCTCCAGCTACTCCTATAAAAGGAGGGCTCCCCCTCAATGTGAAAGGAGGCCAATTTCACTCCTCTCCTGCCAGTTTCTCTTTCTAGATATTTTTAGAGTATATTTTTCCTCTTCTTCAAGAGCTTCTAGCTCCACCATTAATGGCTTCTAAGCCTAAATCATGTACCGTGTACACACTCCCGATATTAATAAAAATCCCCCGTTGGCAAGGTACTGCCAAAAAAGGCTCGTGGTTTTCTCCCGATTTGGGTTTCCACGTAAAAATTCCTGTGTATATATTTTGGTGTATTTTTTAGACCAGTTTATCATTTTTAGCCGGGATAAAAACGATATACCGGTCGATAATTTACACCATCAACCTCCGTCTCAGAGTATTTTGTTTAGTTTTGACTTTTTCCAGTCAATCATTTTAAACATTTGACCTTTAATTAAATAAAATACTACCTCCATCCCCGAGTATTTGTCCAGTTTTGACTTTTTTTGATCAACCATTTTAAACATTTGACCTATAATTAAATAAAATATATATTGTATATTAATTAGATAAAATAATTTTTTAAAAATATTTGATATAATAAATCTAATAAAATTGTTCTTATATCATTTTATTTAATTTTAGGTCAAAGTTTACCAATTTTGACCAAAAAAAGTCAAAAGTGGACAAATACTCAGGGACAGATGGAGTATGTATTACATATTAATTTGATAAAATAGTAGTTTGAAAATATCTTATATAATAAATTTTAAAAACTATTTTTGTATCAATATGTAATATTATTTTTATTTAATTTTGTGTCAAAATTTATCAAATTTGATTGAAAAAATCAAAATAGACAAATACGAGGATTAACAACACAACAATAATACAAGAAAATAAAGAGACTGTTTTAGAAATGTTTTTACAAGGTAGGTAAAACACCTACTCCATACTATACAATCATAAAGATGAATAGATATAAAATTTTACACACAATCTATATATATATATATATATATATATATATATATATATATATATATATATATATATATATATATATATATATATATATATATATATATATATATATATATCAATGGTGGCTGGGGAAGATACGAAGGTGGAGGACATAGAGGAGCATGATCTCGAAGATGGCGAAGAGGACAGAGTGTACAATAATGGAGAGGGCGCTGGTGCAAAAGTTCCCGAAGTCGACAGGCCGGCATCTCCCCGGAACCTGGAAAAGCAGTCCCGGTGAAAAAAACACGAACAATACCACCGATATCAGCACCGGCCCCCAATCCATCATCTTTTTTTTAAATTTATGTATATATTCACTCTCTCTCTCTCTTAATCAGCTCTCTCTACTAATATAGTATATGTATGTATAATGATGCACAATATGCTTTGAATTGATGGTAATTAAGCTTCCCAATCTCTCCTATATATACTACATACTTCCTACCTATGAGCTCATTAATTGTAATTATTATATTATTAATTACTCACCCAGTCCAAAACTTTCTTTTCTCATTTTGACTTTGACATGGTAATTAAGAAAAATTAAAAGAATAAAAACTTTACATGTAGTGTCTTTGATGTGATGAAATAAAGTGAATAGTATAAATAAAAACTGGGAGTATAATAATACATTCATTAAAAGTTTTTTGCCAAAATAGAAAATAAGAAAGAAATTTTAGAGCAGCCCAAAACGAAAAGTGAGGAAGAAATTAATGGACGGAAGAATTATTAAAAAGGAGCGAGCAAACGTATCGCTCTCTCTCTCTCTCTGGCGAAATACTGAAACAATTATAAAATATACTCCCCCGTCCCGGAGTATTCGTCCAATTTTGACTTTTGGAACTGTTCATCTAAGCACTTTGAATCATCAAATTCTCTCAATGTGTAAGCCTAAATATAGTCATGTGTGATGTTGTTTGATTTGTTTAACATATAGATTATTAATATATAATTTCTATAATTTTTTAATATACAAATTACAAGATAAAATGGAATAAAGAAGTGTATTGGATGGTGTGTAAAAATGAAAGTGGACAAATACTCTGGGACGGAGGTAGTAGCAAAAAATAAAAATATGAATTTCATGTTTTTATCTTAAGGTAGGATCTATATTTCATATTTTTTCTTTCGCAAAAAAAAAACTTTTCAAAGAAACGAAAAATGTGCTCCCTGAAAACGAGTTTCGATATTGTTTCTAAATATGACACACTTATTCTATTTTATTATAAAGTAAGGCCAAAATTAGAAAATATTATCAAAATTAAACAATTTTAAGGCATGCCTATTTTCATTTTTGAAGAGTATTATGGGACGAAGGAAGTATACAATTCATAGTATATAACTTTTGTGAAATGTCAATATACAGTGCTAGATTGTCATAGTGTAATAATTTTATTTTAGATAAAAACGTATCACTCCTATTTTGGAAATAAGAATTACTATATTTTAGTTCTATTTTGGGTGAGTTCTTATGGCTCTTATTTCTAAAATAAGAGTGTTACTTTTTCTTCTCAAAATGACAACCTCGCTTTTATGTTGGCATTTTATAGTGCTTTTAATTAGTATTGTATCTTGGCATTATATTCCCATTTCTAGAAATAAAATTATAAAAATATGAAGTTTTTATTTTTATTCTTTCCCTATGTTATACTCATATTTTAATCTTTCTCCTTTAATTATTATCTCTTACATCTTTTACCTGCAGTTGAGATTTGTGGTAAACATAAAAAGTAATTTTTTAAAAATACACATTACTTAATATCAGCGAGTATTCCCTCTGCCCTAATTCAAATCATTGATTTCTCTGTGTACGATGTTTGACTGAAGTTATGATACGATATCGTCGTATCGGGATAGGGAAGGATTTCGAGCACCTTCGAGCTCCAAGAACAAAAGAGGCGAGAAAGAGAGAGAGATTGGGGTTTAGGAGAAAGTATTTTCTTTATTCATTGATTGATAATACTTTGGCGATGGATACATTTATAAGCTCCAATTCTAAAGAATCTTAATAATAAATGGTAACTAAATAAATTAAGAATCCTAATTATAAAAGGTAACTAAATAAACTAGGAAACTAAGTAATCACCTAACACATATATTATTCCCTAATAATAGTTCACTAACTATAAATAATGTCTTACCATAATAATAACAACAACAAAAACAACAACAACAACAACAACAACAATAATAATAATAATAATAGTTCCGTAACACTCTCCGTGCCTCGAAAACCAACTTGTCCTCAAGTTGGAAATCTGGAAAAAATGAGGAATCATGCGTTGTGAACGGATATCCTCCGGGATCAAAGACCTTTATGAATGGAGCATCAAAAGAATCGACCAAGCTCAAAGCATTCAGAACTCCAAACAAACAACTCCAGAGAACCAATACAAAGAAAATCCTACCAGCACGCGTTACATCCCCAGAATCATAAAGGATAACAACGTCACTTTCTGACGTCCCAAATGTTTCCGTGCATCCATAAAAAATGACACCATCACTTGAATATTTTGCTTGGACTGTGTGGGCTCGTTGATCGTCACCAGAAACAGCAACAACAATATCAGCAACGATAATAGGAACAACATCTATGAGATCAATAATAAGATCGTCATCGGGAACACCAACAGGATCTATAAAAATTTCCTTTTCAAATTCTTGGTCCTGCAAAGTTGTGTTCTACACAGGTACTGTAGGGGCCGGATCTCGTGGAGTGCCGATGAGTTTCCTTATAGAGCGCATCATGGCTGTTTTGAAAATGCATAACTCTATAGGAATCAGGCTCGGCATAATTGGGAGACCACGAACTAAATCCTGTATTAAACAAGAGGCCTCTACGGCGAACGCATATACCTCGGAATCATATTTTGGTTGACCTTCAATTGGACGGAATGCTTGATGTTTCTTTATAATTTCATCCACCGTATCTTTAACTCCACACACGCCTTCATAAAATTCAACTTGTCCCCGTAGAACTTGTTGGTCATGTGTGCATCAATTTTCCCGTAGCGGAGGCTATGTGGGCCAAGTCACAATCGAATGTTGTGGGCGCTTGTGTGTTGAATGCACTATAAGGCTAGGGTATGCGCCTCTTCTAACACGAATTGGTTTTAGAAGAGTTGGTAGCGCCTAAGGTCCTACAAGAATTGTTGGGATTCCTCCAAGTCCCACACCGGAAGTATATGAGTAAATGAACCAAAATATATAGGTTCACCCAACCCCATTAGTATGAGGCCTTTTGGGAGGTGCCCAAAAACAAATCCGTGAGGGCTTGGCCCAGAGCTGACAATATCATACTAATGCGGGGTTGGGGTGAGGGCACGCGCAGTCTCAACATGTGGTATCGGAGCCCAGGTTCTTGCGGGCGTGAGGCGGGCTGTGTACTGTGGAAAAACTCGGTGTGACGGTGTAACAATAGGACCAAGACCAAGAAAGAGGATCTGCAGGTGGTGCCTTGTGTCGAAAGTCTTCCCGACAAGATGAGGTCGGGCGGTGTGTCCCGTGAAGTTATAGCCACGGCGGTACAAGATGATTTTGCGGATCAAATGGTGTATCCCAGCGAAGGAAAGATCTGCGGTTCGAGCCTTGCGTCGAAAGTCTTCCCGACAGGAGGTCGGGCGGCGTGTTCCGCAAAGAGTGTGCGGCGGTGTAAGATGGTTAGCAGATAAAAAAAGGAAAAATGGATTCTTGGTAGAGGGGAGGTCGGAAGTTGTGTGGTCCTTGGTTGAGGGGAGGTTTGTTGGGATTCCTCCAAGTCCCACACCGGAAGTATATGAGTAAATGAACCAAAATATATAGGTTCACCTAACCCCATTAGTATGAGGCCTTTTGGGAGGTGCCCAAAAACAAATCCGTGAGGGCTTGGCCCAGAGCGGACAATATCATACTAATGCGGGGTTGGGGTGAGGGCACGCGCAGTCCCAACAGAACTTTCTCGAGTAAACCAAGAACTTTGTCCAACAGAGAATCCATTGCCAAAAGAAACACCACCACACAAAAATATCACTAAAAAATAGTAATAATACCTCAAATCTTGTGTGAAGGACTTTTACCTATATATGGGTCTTTGTTTTTTTGGGCGATCAACTTGGGACAGTAGAAAGCTTCTTAGGATTTTTTTGTGAGTTCAAGAATGAAAGCACCAATTGATACGATATCGTATCGGGATAGGGAAGGATTTCGAGCTCTAAGAAGAAAAGAGGCGAGAAAGAGAGAGAGATTGTGGTTTAGGAGAGAGTATTTTCTTTATTCATTGATTGATAATACTATGGTGATAGATACATTTATAGGCTCCAATTCTAAAGAATTTCAATGATAAATGGTAACTAAATAAATTAAAAATTCTAATTATAAAAGGTAACTAAATAAACTAGGAAACTAAGTAATCACCTAACAAATATATTATTCCCTAATAATAGTTAACTAACTATAAATAATTCCTTACCATAATAATAATAATAGTTCCGTAACAAGTTATTTTCAAGATAATTTATTTGAGATAGAGGTAATATTAAAAGTTGGATAGTTTCAAGATAACTTAAATCATTGATTTTTTGTTTTGGTGTTTGCCCCAATTTAAAGTCATGAGATTTAACACGTTATTTGAATCGTAACATCTATTTTGGGATGGAGGAAGTATTAAAAAATTAATTTAATTATTACTTCCTCCCTTCAAATTTAAGTTGCATGTTCACTATTTACATGGTAAAATTTTATTCACTTTCATTACTTATTTTCGGTAATCATTTAATAAAATGATACATAGTCATATCACTTCTTGTTATATAAAATTTTAAAATTAATTTTTAGATATATAAACTTTATTTTTAAATTCTCAGCAATTTTTGTATAAAAATGATTTTTAAAAAATGATTCGTGATGTAACGATGTAGATATGTACAAAAAGATACGTAGGGAATGAAACTTATCAAAATGATGATAGAATAAGAGAAATGCGTGGCATATTCAGGAGAGAACTGTTGTTTTATGTGGACGCCGAGTGTAATATATGGAGGTATATTTTACATTTTGTAAATAATAATACTTCGTACATAATAAATAATAATAATATTATTATTATTATTCTAGTTATCATCAATATCAATATATACTATTCTTAAAAGCAGGGGAAATTTTTCCCGCCCAAACGCACCTACATTGTGAACCGTCTATTAGCGTCAAGATCTTGATCCACGGCCATTATTCATCTTTAGAACGTTTCCATGTATAATTGTGCTTAATAATTACTCCCTCCGTTCCACAAAACACTTCCGTTTTAATTTTTTGCGCACCCCATAAAATATTTCTATCCCATCTAAAATGTCTAAAATACCCCTAAAACAACTTCTACCCGCAATAAACTACATAGTGGGATATATTTTAGATATTTTA